TTGGGGAAGCAGAACCCACCTTGGGGATAGGGGCCCTACAGGTCTGCAGAAAGAACTGGAAGGAGTCAGAGGACAACTCAGGACCTGACAGACTGCAACCCACAGGAAGACAGACTCCTTATCTATAAGGAAGGACAATGTACGCTTTTCCTAAGGTCAGGAGGCAGGAACAGTGACCTCAGGGTGCAAGCCTGTCCCTGTCTTCCTGCTCTCTTTCCCTAGCTGTGAGGTTCAGGTTCTGGGGGAGACAGAGGATGCTCCCAGGAAGCCTTTCTCTAGAGTCCCCCAGTCAGCGCCCCCGGAAGGGAAGGTGGGGGAGGGGCAATAACGTGTCTGTTCATATGCACGGCTCAGGGAAGAACCCAGGCAGGTCACACAGCTGGTGAACATCTGGATCTGCTCTTCCAGGTTATACAGTTGGTGAGTATCTGGGTGCGAGCCCTTTGTCTATACGGGGCTGTCCTCTGGCTGGGTGTGACCCAGCGGTTCTGTGAGTGTGCCCTTGTCTGAGCATGCACAAGTGGACAGGCCACAGTGCCTGAGTAGAGGAACTGTGTGTGCCACTGGACACCTGTGGTTAGCCAAGAGGCTGCTCCACAGAGGCAAAGCCCTGGTTTAGTTGTTAGTGGTTGCTCCGGGAAAACGATCCCTGGGCTAAAGCTGATCTGTGGTGTCAGACACGCAAACCTCTACGCAAGGCAGCTTATGCTCGCTCTCCCAGCCTATGAGCCCCTTGGGTGATCGCCTTCCTGGAAGGGTTCAGATTGGGTTCCTGGCTGATCTTTGGTAACCCCATGCTTCCTCAGGTTAGTTCCACCAGCCTAGCAGTAAGAGCTGACCAAGGCCAGGCAAGGCCCTGGGTCTTTCTCCTCACCACTGTGTCTACCTCAGGTTTGATTCCCCACTGGCATTCCGCAGACCTGACCAAGGGGAAACACTGAGAAGACAGAAAGGCCTGTAACTGAGTATTTGCTCTGGGCTACACACAGGGCCACAGGGCTTCTTCAAGCTCCTCCAAGTTCCTCTGGGGGACACAGCCCTCACCCCAGCCCAGTCACAAGGGAAAGTGAAGCTCAGGGATGTGAGGTGGCCCTGGCGGGTGCCTGGGGAACCAAGATGGCAGCCATAGCAGACTGTAGAAGTTGGGCCAGAATGAATTTGAATGAGGACCCCTGCTGTGTGGCTGGACTTCTGTCTAACCACGGGACTCCATGCTGTAAAAATAGACACACGGCCTTAGCAACAAGCTCCATCTTGGAGACGCAACATGAAGCCCTTCCCTGCCCTCACCCTTGTGACTTTGCCCACGTCAGTCTCAGAACCCTGCTTGAGAAAAACTTGAGAAACTGCCTGCCCGCTCTGGCCTGCACACTCCATTCCTGAGCTCTTGGCTAAAAGCAGAAGGGGAGCTGTAGCTAGAGACACAGGCCACGCCCTTCCCATAGGGAGACGACAGCTTCTAGGTAGGCTGGGAGGAAAGAGCCTCATGGGTTTTCTGTTTCTACATTCAGGCTCACTAGATTGGGGTGAAGGAGGGCTGTGCCTCTTTTTCTGGAACCTTCCATTTGTGGCATGCAGATATACAGAGAGTACATCAGGAGTCCGAGATGGGCAATGTGGTTAATGGCAGAGGGCTCTGAGGTCATATTTCAGAAGGTTTGGGGGGCACACAGGTCAGATTCTGAGGGGGCAAGGAGCTGAGGAAAGAGGTACGGTTCGTGCCAGAAAAGATGGTTGTGCCTACAGCTAAGCACCAGTGGGATGAGAGTCAGGGAGGAGGAGGCTGAGCCTCTAGGGAGAGAACTGTGGCAGGGCAATGAGAAGCGGGCATAGGCCCAGGACAGAAAAAAATCCCTGGAAGGGTTGAGGCCTAGGAGCATCTGAGTGTCGTGGGACATGGGAGAAGAGGACCTAAGGCAGAGTTGCCTTCTTCTCCGTGAGGCTCACTCCTCAGCGATGCTATCCCTCAGCATGCTGTTAGACAGCCAAGGGTCCTCCAGTCAGGCTTGGTCACCAAGTCCAAAAGTGCTACTTCTGTGGCTTTGTGTGGCTCCTACATTACAAGCTCCAGTTTCTTCTTTTTCCATTGGTAAACCCTGCCAGGACCCTGCACCTTTGCCCACTCTGTTTTAACAGCCATTCACTTAATTCCTATCAGAGCCAGATGTATGTATGACCAAATAAAGGAGGGACTCAGGCCTTAGAGAGGGACCCAAATGACCAGCCACGTGTGGGCTCCGTTCGGTGGCTGGGTGGAGCTTGGTCACCCGATCCTTTTCAATGGTGTCCGGTTTATAGAGTTCTGTGGGCAGTTAAGTAGAGAAGGGACACATAGTTGGGGCAGAGTAGGGGTGTGAATGAGGACATGGGGAAGGCCCTGGGCTGGATCAATGAGAGAATCGCTGTGGACTCTGTCTTAACAGAGGGTCCTCTCAGCTTTGGCTGGATCACCTATTATAACTTAGAACCCATGTGGCAAGAAGGCCTTGGCTGACAGGACCGTGTTAAAGGCCCTGTGCTGGGAGGCCTCCTTAGACTGGTCTGAATGGAATCTAGTTCCTCTTGGGTCTCTTGAAGGATCTCTCTCCACTCCCTCCTGAAGGATAAAGATGGCTTCCTCCTCTCCCTCAACCAATGGGGTAGCACCCTGCTGTCCCACCAGGAACAGAGTCACTTCTGTCCTAAATGAGCATTGTGGCCTCCCTCGACTACATGCTTTTCACCAGGGTCAGCTGACCATCCCTGCCCTGCCTGGTGCTCCCAGAAGTGGGGTTCTGAGCCTGAGAAGCTACCAACACCTTTTCATTAATGATGCTGCAGGCTTGAGTCAAGACTGGCTCACTTCTAGGCTCTAAACTGGGACCCTTGTAGTCAAAAATCACACAGATCAGGCAAAGAGTAGGTAGGTCCCCAGAAGGAGCTGAGAGGATTGGAGACTGACAAGTGCCAGGGGCTTTAAGTCTCTCTCTGTGTTGTGTCCGCTGGACTTTTGTGTGTTCCCTGGCTCTGGCTCACAACTGTGAGGTTGATAGTGGACTTGGAGGCATCTAAGGGATGTGGACTCTATGGTCAGGGCACGGAATCTCTCTTGGAGAGTTCCTAGTTCTAACAGATAGTCAGAAGTGTGGTCTCAAGCCTGCACCTCCATTGTGGAGCTCATGATGAGAAGCCACTGCCAGAGGGATTTATGGTGCTGGGCACCCACAGGGAAAAGGAGGTTCTCCTGGCCTGAGAATCAGCCTGCTCCAGATGTGTACAGAGCACAGAAAACCAAAGGGAGGCAAGGTAGGAAGTGTGGGGTGGGGAGAGCCACTCCCTCACCATTGCTTCCTGAGGGGTACACCCCCTGCTTCCAGCTTTCTCACTCCCCAAATAAGCCCCATCCACAATGGCTTCAGGGCTTGAAGAAACCTGTGGGGTCATCTTGACAGCTATGTGACAACAGGATGGGTGCCCTTGGCTCCAGTGAACTCTGAATACTCAGGGCCTTGGCCCCATCTTCTCTCATATCACCTCCTCACCTTGGTCCTCTGAAGGAGAGCTAGTCGGGTCTGGGGTCAGAGGCACAATCTAAGCAGCCACGTGGCCCAAGATCTGGCCTGTCATGAAATTTCCTGTCCCTAATACTCCTCTTCTATTGCCAGATGCTGTCCTTTGTCCTGTCCTCCCTCCCTCCCTCTCATCTTGGGACCCTAGAGGGACCAAGCCACCTCCAGATTTAGACTCTCCCAGGACAGTATGCTGGCACATTCTCTCTGAGGCTAACATTTGACTCGATTCTTCTTCCCCTGCCTGACTATCTGGCCTTCCACACATGGCCTGGCTCTGATGTCCAAGTGTGCCCTGACAAGCATGAAACAAAACAGGGACGGTCACCTCTGCTCTTCTCCAGGTCTTGCATCTATTAACATCACCTGGGAGCTGTCCTGCCTCACTGGGGGTTGGTGACCAGCAAGGGGGCTAGAGTCCTAGGGTACCCTAACTCCCTTCACAGGGGCCTATTTCGGAGAGAATTCCTGGGAATTCATGTTCTTTCCAGTCGGGGCCTCCACATAAGAAGACTTCCCCAGACCGTCAGGCTCCAACCTCCAGGACCCCGCCCCCCGGCCATGATCCTTCACGGTGCTCAGCAATGCAGGGTAATGAGGGAGTCTCAGCGTACCCCTCCGAGAACTAGGGACTCTTCTACACAATCGTACGCTTACCAAGGCTTAGATGAGCCTGGCAGTGCCTCTGAGCAGCTTGTGACAACCCTGGTGGCTGTAGCTGTGCTCAGAAGGGGCCGTCAGCTGGTACAGGCTACAGGCTAGCAACCCAGAACTGGGGGCCCCACTGATGGGCAGGAAAAGGAGGGGATGCAGAGGCAGAGCCCTGTCTTATCTATACTCTGTTGTCAGAGTGGTCCCTCTCTCCTCCTTCCCTTCCCTTTCTCTTTGGGCTTGTCTAGCAGCGGCCCTGCCAGCAGGCCTCCCCTAATACTCCCAGAGTAAGGTCAGAGGGCCATGCTGCACGGAAGTCCCAATGGCCACTGAGTCTGTGTGGCATTCTGACCCTGGGAGCCTAATGTACATGTTGGTTTCTGAGTAAGTGGAGGAGGCTCCTGCACTCAGGGTACCATATATAGGTACTGGGTTCTTTGCTATAATATACAAAGAAATAAATGTGTTTGATGGAGGGCAAAAAAAAATTTAAAAAGGAAAATAATGAGTTCCCTTCTGCAGTAGAGCTCCCCACATTCGCATACAACACACGGAGCCCCCATACTGCACGGACGTACATCCTCATGCTCACACACACTCACATGCTAGCACACATGCAGGCTCACACAGCGGTATACCTCCCCACCGGCATCCACACCCTCACACATCACTCCCCAAAGCTGGCATGTACACACACACAAGACCGCGCACCAGCACCGCCCCCCAGGCCAGCACTCATTCGCACTCACCCACACACCCAAAAGGGCAAGGAGAACAAAGGAAGTGGAAGAAAAGTGTTACCCATGAGGAGCCGCCGTTTCACCCGCTTGTCCACATCAGCTACTGACGTGGCATTGAACTGAGAGCGCTCAATTGCAGCCTCATCCTTCTCTAGAACACAAGTAAGGGACAAACACGGAGCCGGTGGTTAATGAGAGCCCACTTCCCGCGGCCCAAGACAGTCAGCCTCTTGGCGTGGCGCACACAAAGCCAACACAGCATGCCGGGCCAGCACGGTGCCCTCGCCAAGGGCTAATCCCAGGAACTTTCAGGCGGGTGTGCTCAGGGCGAAGCAAAGAGGAAGCAAGGGTGGGAGGGATGGCATGCAGACAAGAAAGGTGGCCACAACACGACCTGGACACAGTGGGGATGCAGGGGTCTGTGTGCAGCCAAGCAGGGTATGTGGCTGAGGTCAGCAGGAAGCCTGTGTGGAGGACGCAGAAGCGGAGAGCATGCCATGGGCTCACAGAGAGAAGCGGTTACAGGTCCCTGAGGCTTGAGCAGGTGCAGGATAAAGCAACAGGACAAAGGGATAGGTTTGCGAGGTCTGGTGATGGATATACCTGGGACGGCAGATGCCCTGTTACAAGGATGCTGCCACTCATGCAAAATTAAGAACAAAAACTCACAGAGAAACGTACACATACATACACAGAGAACACTGGATCCCATTGGACAGACAGAAAATCCAGGGGATCTGGGCAGCACTGGTTGCCTGCTTGTCTAGAGGACCAGAGCTAAGCATTCAAGTGCTCAACAGGGGACTGCAGAGAAGAGTCAGTTGTTGTGGGAGCGTGCGGGAGGGAAAGGGCTCGGGCCAGCCGGGGAGCCTCCAGCCACTGGGCACGGAGCTGTGCCAAGATGCTTTTCTGGGACCGGTAACAGGAAGGAAAGCAGGACGGGAGGTTTCTCATCCTGGCTAGGAGTTGAGGCCACAGTGGCTGGAGCTGGGTAGGGGGCTAGTTTCTAACGAGAGGGGACTAACAGGAAATATGGGATCGGGGAAAGAGATCCAAGCAGGGACTGTCACATGCAGCAGACGTTAAAAAATAAAAATAAGATGAGAAAGGACGGAGTGAGGAGGACACAGACAATAAGGGTTAGATCTGGGCTAGAGTTCATATGCCCGGCTGTTGTCTGTGCTCGTCCAGCGGCTGCAGGGCAGGCTCGACTGGACATGGGAGACTTGAACAGACAAGACAGAGGGGAGGCCAGGGTGGCTTGAAGGAGCTCTGGGCAGGACAGTGAAGGGAGAGAGGTCAGAGGACAGAAAGTTCTAGATGGGATCAGGCTGCAATAGAGACACTGGTCTGAGACCTGGTTTGGCTTTTAATTTTTTTAAAAAATTTATTTATTTTTTGGTGATTGGTTGGTTTGGTTTTGGCTTTTGGCTCTGAAAAATGATTAACGAATGTCAGTTATCAGACAAGACAGGCAATCAGGGACCATCACAAGAGAAGCAGCGGGAATGAGGTAAAATGAAATAAAAAAATGGCTGTCCGAGAGAAGAGGCCACACAGAGCTGGGGAGAGCCACCACAGGCAGCAGGACAGCCCCGACTACACAGGGGATGGCCTGGGATCCCTGAGCGGCCTAGCACCCAACTTTCCAAGACACCAAGGAGCAGCGACAGGGGATGGAGAAAGAGAGCAGCTTTGGGACGCGTGTGCGTACATGGCTTCACCCAACACCTTTCTGTCACTCAAAAGCCCCTCTGAATCCCCCTCTAAGTTGATCATAAGAAATGGGACCTTTTCAAAGAAATATCGAGTGTGATCCCACCAACTCATTTTGGGTCCTAGCAAGTAGACCCTTGGCCCCAAACTCTGAAATTCCTTTTTCTTAGTTTAAAAAAAAATCTTGCTGTTGTTTTTGAGCAGAAGAAAAAAAATATTAGTAATTATTGCATAAAATAACTACAAATGTTCAAGCTGCCCTTGGGAACGTGGGCCCGGAAGGAGGAGGTGGCTGAGTTCCAATCATGGTTCCATGGAGCAAGCAGGTGATGGGACAGAAGCATTGCCGAGGGAGAAGGGACCTTAGGTGGGTGAGGAAGTCTAGGGAGAGCCCGCCATCCCAGAATGAGAAGCAGTCCCAAGCACGCACGCCCCACGCAGGGTGCACACCTCCACCCTCACGGTGAGCCACGTGCTAGGACACTCAGTTTCTACATGACTGCGAACAGTGCTCACACAGACTCAGCGAGGCTGCTAAGAGTTTTTCACATTAGAAAATACCAGGCTTTGGGGGACAGACGATGTCCCCAAGCTCAAACACACTGCTGCAGACAATCCCCTGTGTTGAGTTTGAGGACAAGAAGCAACCCCACTGGGTACTGAGGGACCCAGGGCAAATTCTCACAGAAGCTCCCCTTGGGATGCCTGCCAGCCCCATCGGCCTTGTAGGTGGCTCCTCTTCTTCTCTCCCTTCTGTTCCCCCAAGACAGGGGGACCACACAGGGTACTTCCAGGGGCAGTATGGCAGTGACAGTACCTACTTACCAATGCATGTCCGACCGTCCGCATGTAGGGCGTACTTCTGGTGGCAGCCACACATGGGGCCTGTGTCTGTGTCCTCGCAGCTGTGTTGACAGCCTCCGTTTCCATAGTTACAGGTTACTAGTTAGTCCCAAAGTGTACACACGTGTGTATAAACAGAACAACAACAGAAACGGTTAGTTTACTGGAATTGGTTATTTTTTGGGGTGGGGCGGGTGGGGGAGGTGACCAGGGGACAGTGCTTTGAGGACTGAGGGAAGCAGACTTGCATCTCTGCCCTTGAGCCCCTCCAGGGTGCCAGATAGAAATGCCAGTCTCAAGAGGTGGGCCCAAGAGCAGACTCGGAGATTCACACAGCTAACGCATGAAGAGAGTGGAGGGTGAGGGAGAGGCTAGACACACATGCAAGACACTTTAACCCCATTAGTCCCACTGGGACACATGCCTGTTCACACCAAGACATTGTGGGAGAGATAGCAGCCACGGTTCAAAGAGACATTTATAGTCTTAGCTCTTGCACAGCTGGATCACCCGTCTGTGTCTCGGCACAGGTGGAGGGATGTTCCCATAGATCCTACTCTGTGGGTCCTAGATGTGAGCAATCTCAGCTCTGTTCCCTCACAGCACTGTGGAGACCAGCAATCCCCAGATAGACAGAGCTTAAGCAAGTTAATGTCACTTGTATGCTGAGAAAAACCTACGCTGTGTGATTGGTGCTGTCTATGGCTGGAGGATCTAGGGCCCTTCAAGCCCAGATGCTCCTCCATAGAAGCAGCAGCAACCTGCACCCATGGAAAAGGGACTGAGCAAGGGGAAGGCAGTCTAAAGCAGGCAAATGATGTTCAGGTTTATTTACATAAAGATGGTCCACTGCCACTGTATAGGGGGAGGAGACTGCCAGAGACGATGAGGATCTGAGCCAGCTTTCTCGGAGGGGCCCTTGGAGACTCCACTTTATCACGCCATGAGCTGGTGGCCAAGAGACGTCACCTGAGTGCCTGGACAGCATGTCTTCATGGAGACCTTGATTGGTTGTCCATACTCTACCTGCACACATTACTGACTTATGAAAGTCGTTCTGAGTCCAGACCTGGTTCGAGGAACACCGAATTCTAGATCCGAGAGTTTGAATTAATCATGCCCTACTAAGCAGATCTGTTCAGATGGCTGGCAAGGGAGGGAAATCACTGGAGGAGAGTATAGGATGAGAGTGGCTGGAAGGGGCAGGTATTTATCTGGCATCTCACATACTGCCTTCAGCAGCCAGGGCTTCTCAGCAGCGCCCTCTTCGTGACCCAACTTCCAGGGAAGCTGGATGGCCACAGGCTCTCATCCATGAAGTCTGTCCTTTCCACACTTAGGGATGGTGGTGATAGGCAGAAAGTTGGTGTTCCCCAGTGCAGTGTTCCTTCTTGGGGATAGAAGCCCAGGGCTCAGGATCGGGGTCTGCATAGGTCCCAGGGGATGGATGGGTCAATCCCCAACTGGGCAGTTTTTTTTTTTTTTTTTTTTTTTTTTGGGTTATGGAGACTCCTTTTCAGAGTGGGCACAGGGAATTTTGGGAAAAGGCAGCAAGAGTTCTTCCTATTCTCTGCATGCTGGGCTTTGGGAAGACAAGATGGATAAAGGAATATCCTCACTCCTGGAAAGGGCTCTAGATTCTGATGGGACAAGGGATTGGGGTGTGGAGCCCTGCAGCCTCTCCCCACCAGTCTAGAGGTTGCTGGGCTAGCCTGGGCTCCTGATCAACTCTAGCATCCAAGGTTCTTGAATACAAGTGAGTTTTGGGGGTCCATTCAGGTCTCCCCTATCCTTTGCACTGGTCCTCATCTTCTTCGAGGCAGGGTCTCTTCTTGTTTGCCACTGTGTACAGCAGGCTAGCTGACCTGTGAGTTTTCAGGCATTCTCCTGTCTCCACCTCCCACCTCATTACAGAAACACCAGAATGACAGACAGACACACACTACTGTGTCTAGGCTTACATGGGATCTGGGAATTTGATCTTCCAAACTATCTTTAACTATGCCTCTCAAAACATAGAAGAAACCAAAGCCAGACCTCCTGAGTGCCACCACCAGGGAACCCTTAGGGTTTTTGCCCACTCCTTGGCCTAGGACCTAGAATTAGGCTTTCAATACCTTGTCAGGGAGGGTAGGGCTATGGATCCAGGGACCAGCAAATGTCCCTAGTCTGGGCTTAGCCCTTTGACCCTGTGGTGACAAGGGCAGGGGTCTTTGCTTTCCACAGACTGGCTTGTCCCATGTCCTTCTAGCCAAGCTAGACACCCAGAGGAGTTTTGTGGGTAAACCTTCCTGTGTGACACTAGTCCCAGATGGGTTATAAGGGTAAACTGGTCCAGTGAGGTCACTGGCAGCCCTCTGTCTAGTGTCTGCATGGAGCAAGTCTTCAGAGGCCATTCTTGCCTGAAGCCTGTGCCTGCTCCTATCCTTGCTCAGCATGAGGGCTGGGAGAGGGATAGTCAGCCCCAATTGCTCTGAAAGTGGCCAGTTAGCAAGTGTTTTCTCTGAAGTTGGAAGAATCCACCTGTGGGTCCAGGCTAGGACCTCTGTCCTGCCTTGGTGACAGCCAATATGCATGCCTTTGCTGTTCCATGAGAAAGACCCAGCAGTAATGAGAAAGACTGGCCCACATCCTGACTATAGCCAGATGTTGTAGAATGTTATTCTCGAACACAACAGCAATTGTCATCTTCATCAGGACAGATGTATGCAATTCTGCCCCAGATGTGGTCCAAGGCAGTGATAGAATACACAGGATGTGTAAGGTTAACTGATGGGGTGGGAGATCCTGTCTGCAGCTGTGGTAAAGGCATCATTCACGCTGGCATGAGACTTTCTGGTGGTGGGGCTGCTTTGAGGTCGTTCATGCTTCATAAATAAGCCCAGGAAACTCATTGGTTCCCCCAGTTGGACTTGGGTGGAATCAGACTCTGGTCTGTCACCATCTAGGGTGAGTAGGCACTTGTTCACATTTCCCTGGGAAAAGTTCACAGAACACCAGGATGAAGAAAGTGCCTCCACTTTGGGAGATGGGTAGATAGCGCAGAGGGTTGGAGCATGAGTCCCTGGGGATAGGAACAATAGTAGGGGCTCATGGGTCTCCAAGGCCTTGGTAACTGTTCAGGGAAGATGAGCTGAGAGAGTCACAGTGGCTGGGATGGTGGGCCAGCTGTCTTCTGTCGAGAATGGAGGAAGAGAGGAAAGCTGAGGTCCTTATCATGGAGTCAACCACCACAGAAGCTCAGACAGGCAGGCACACATTCTTCAAGAGGCAGAAGCAGACTCCTCCGGCATGTCCTTTACACCACAGTGCAAGGCTGATGAAGCCGTGGCTCAGCTGTGTTGGAAGTATTGATTGCAGTTCCTTCAGCTCTTGGCAGACTCAGAACAAACAAAACGCAGCCTGCATCCCATTGCCTTCCCACAAAGCAGTTGGCAGGATGTGTTGGGTTTGATGCTCTAGAAGCCCTTGCATGTCTTAAGTTCTGTTTTCTTTTCCCAATTTCGTTCCTACTCATGGGCTGGATACCCACGATAAGAGGTCAGACTGGGGATGGCTGTGATGGCACACACCTTTAATCTTAGCACTTGGGAGGCAGAGACAGATAGATCTCTGTGATTTCTAGGTCTACAGAGAAAGTTCTAGGACACAGACAGGAAAACCCTGTCCCCATGCCCACACTATGGTGAATCCTGGGGCAGAGCTCCTCCAGGCAAGCAAGCAGGCCTTGAAATGGTATCCCTGGACTGTTGCCTTCATCAGACCAGATACGGGGCTCATGGTTTATAATTAGTCCTAAGGAGGTCACTGAGTTCAGCTTTTTAATTTTTTTTTTTTTTGAGACAGGGTCTCATTGTAGCGCAGGCTGACCTCAAACTGTCTGCACAGCTGAGGTTGGCTTTGAACTCCTCCTTCTGTCTCAACCTCTCAAGTGCTATAATTATAGGTGTGGACTACCACACCTGGTCTAGGCAGTGCTGGGATGGAACTCAGGGCTTGGTGCCAGGCAAGTGAACTATATCCTCACCCTGGGTTCTGACCTGGACAAATGTCAGCACGGGGTCCACTCCTTCCCTTCCACCCCTTCCCTCCCACTCCTTCTCCCTTGCCTCTTTATACTCTTCTATCAGGCTGATAGAGAAAGTGGAGCTTTTAGGCCTCTGAGCTGTAGCCCCCAATCCCCACAGGGGAGTTTGTGTTCAGGGCTCTACAGATGGTCCGAGCCAGTGCCTAGGGCTGTGTTGACGGCGTCATACCAGGTACAGAAATCCCCAAGCTGGGAGGTCATGAGCCACCCCTCCAGCTTCCCCAATCCCCTCAGCAGACCTGTCCTCCCCTGACCACAGGGACCGAGTGCCTCCCTGCCCAACGTCCAGCACCCTGGACAGACCCTTCACAAAGCAATGGTAGGAGACGCATGGGGGTGTCTGACCCATTTGCCTCCCATCTACCTACGTGTGCAGTCCTTCTGGTTTTGGGCAAGGTCAAAGCCGGGCCTGCAGTCACAGGCTACCCCACCTTTGGGCGTCTCCCGGCAGATGTGGGCACAGCCATGGTCTTTGTTCATGCAGTTCATCCCCTCTGGGAAGAGAGACAGAAAAGACAGGGGTTGGAGGCCAGTGACAGTGGAGGAGAGAAGAGAACCTCAGGCTGTGGAGAGATGACCAGTAAAGCAGCCCAGTCCAGTGGGGGGGGGGTGTTTAGTCAGCTACTGCACATATGTGTGTGTGTGTGCATGCATGCACAGGTGCATTCTGCCACAGTGTCCGTGCCCCGAAGGTACAGTATAAACAACACAGGCACAGTTCCTGCCTGACATCGAGGGTTATCTGTGCAGCATTGCCTTCAGTCAGGGTCATATGGATGCTCTCCTTAGACTCCAATGGCTCCAGGACACTTTTGTATCCACTTAGTAAACTCTATTTCCTCCCTGTGTGCCTGGAGTGGCTTGAACCTCCTCCTGATGACTCCGGTTGATGTTTATCTTCTGGGTGATTTGTGAGGCGTTTCCAGAATTTATGAGGTCAGGGGGTCAAGTGAGAGGTTGTAGGTCACAAGTCCATCAAGAGGCCACAGGCAGATCAAAGAGCAGAGAGCCACTGTGTGCTACACACCAGCTTTGGGACCTGATGTCACCTCCATCTGAGAGAGCGCGGCGAGTGAAGCTGTCTGGGAGAAACCCTGAGGTGGTGACTACATGAGCTAGCCTATCTTCCTCAGAGGCCACACTTAATCTTTGTCCTAGGGGAAGAGAGTGTAACTGTAACCCCGTGTGCTGTACATGGGCCCTCACTAACACAGGACATGTTTAAAAGGATAGACCTATGGCAATTATATATAATAGACCAGAAATGTCTTGGGCTGGCGGTGTGACCCAGTGGACTTCGGCTAGCATGCTGGCAGTCATGGGGTCCTCCCCAGCACCACAAAACGGAAAAGAAAGAGAAGGCGGTCTAAAGTTAATTCACAGAAAGCAATGAACGAAGGCTGTGTTTTGCCCAGCACCTGGCCTCACCTTGTCATGCTCTTCTTCCCCCACAACTTTGATTTGTTCATTAATTCAAGCCAAGCTGCCATACCAGTGCAGGGCGTCTGCACCAGCTGACTCATGGCAGACAGACAAGGCACCCAATGCACGGACGGAACCTCCACCGCCTCCCTTCCTCAATTTCCAACACCACCTGAGCTTGACAGCAGGGACAGAGGCGTGGTGACCGCTGTCCAATAGTCACTGGGAGGAAGCTGACCCGTGGCCACAGCGTATTTCTATACAAACACCCCAGCTGGCTACCAGTAACCAGGGTTGCTCCCGAGCCAATATGAGCCCACCCTGGTACCCCGCACCCTGGCATGCAGCTTTATTCACAAAACTCCTGAGAAGTCAAGCAGACGTGGTCATGAATCTGGCTCCCCATGAGCTGTGTGCCTTGGAGACCATTGTTTGGCTTCTTTGAACCTCACCTGTAAACAAGCACGAGACCCTCAGCCTTGAGGATTAGGCTTAGATATTCCCTGAAGCCACAGCCAGGAAGATGCCAGGTGCTTGGCATGCATTCTGTTGACAGGACCTGTTACTGTTCCTGCAGATCTGAGGGAGGCAGCTCCCCGATGGGTCCTGGCTGGAAGAGCACTCTTCAGAGGTGACTTCAGGAGAGGCACTTCTTGGCCATCCAAACCCACTTAGGTTCCTGTCATTTTCTGGGACACCCTACCTGTCAAGAGTCTGACTACCAAGCAGCTTCCTGGACTCAGAATGGGAACTGTCAGTGAGCAGCTTGAAGCCAAGGTCACACTTCACTTCCTACTTAATGTGTGTGTCTGTGTCTCTAGTGTTTCAGCTGTGACCCGACCTTTGGTACCCTGTCCTCATGTACATCCTCTCTAGGTCCACAACCCCACACTGCCTGCTGTATCCCCCGGCTTCTTCCTGGTTCCTTCTCTTGTCTTCTATAAGTGACTTCCTAAGCCCATCTCTGATTCCATCAATTCCATAAAGACTTCTGACCCCACGTATATCCTCCAGGCCACACTGATTTCCCAGACTGCTGTCCTAATATACCTGCTTTGTCTTCCCAGGCATGAAAGAGCTCATGTTCCCTGTTTAGCTCCGCTTGTGCGTGGCGAAGAAAGGGAGACTGAATTTCCACTTCTAGTCACAGAAGCTCTGTACACCATTAGACAGCCAGGAATTTGTCCCCATGAGGCTGATACATCCCTGAACCCTGGACAATGGATTCCCAAGCTTTAGAAACTGTCAAGCCTTCTCCTCTGAGGACCTGTTAGCACCAAGTCTTTCCTTTTGAGTGTCCAGACTTCGGTCATGAGCCAAGAGGTCATACCCTGGAGAGGCTCTGGGAGAGCGGCCCAGCACCATGGTGACTGCCAGTGGTCAGCAGCGGGGCCACAGGAAGGAAATGGGGAGCCACAGAACTGGTGTCCAGGGTGCAGTCAGAAGATTCCTAAAGTTTCTCTTAGTCTGCTTTACAACTGGTGTGTGTGTGTGTGTGTGTGTGTGTGTGTGTGTGGTGTGGTGTGTGGTGTGTGTGTGTGTGTGTGTGTGTGTATGTTTGTGGAAGGCCTCTGTCCCCACTGTAACCTTGAGGCAGAGCCAAGGCCCCCGAGCATAGCCTCCCATCTCAGGCTCCCATACCAACCTCCCTGCCAGTACGCTGTAGCATTGGTTCCTCTCTATCATGTTCCCTGATCCAGAGATGCCTGCTTTCCACAAATGGTGGGGACAGGCTGAGGACATTAGTACAATTGAACTCGGGTCCTCTCTATGTTCCTAACAGTTATAAGCTTTATTGAATTCAGAAGTAACAGTTTAAAACGTACCACATGCAGCTAGGTGGTGGTGACCCATGCTTTTACTCCTACCACGTGGGAGGCAGAGGCAGGTGGAACTCTGTGAGTTTGAGGCCAGCATGGTCTACAAAGAGAGTTCCAGGATAACCATGGCTGTTATACAGAGAATCCCTGTATAACAAAAAACAAACGACAATAACAGAAACAAAAAACAGAAAACAAAAAAAAAATGACAATAACAAAAAACCCAAAAACGTACTACATGGAAATGTAATGATTTTTGCTAAAAACTATATTTTCTAAAGAAAGGAGACTGTGGGCTCAAGAGGCATGCCCTTGCAGTAGGCATGCAGGGCAGTAGGCACCGGGCACTCCTGTCTCCTGAGTGTGGCTTGGATTCCAGATCAAAAGCTTCTCCCCAGCTTCTGTGGCCTCTGCCAGGCTGCTCTGGCAGCTTTTGGCTACAGATGGTTTTCTCCACCAACCTGTGTACTCCAGCCCAGGCCTCAGTCACTTGTGCTGAGCCCATGCATACTCAGCCCCAGGCCCAGGGCCCAGCTGGGAGGGCAGAGCAGAGCTTCTGTGACTCAGGACTGCAGGCCTTGCTTATCTGTCCTGCAGCTCTCTGCCTGGACCATGCCTGCTCCCGAGAGGGATGCAGATCCTAGGTGCAGGTATGGGAACCACATGCGCCAAGTTCAGAGAAAGCTCGCTGGTTTCCCCCCACAGAGGCGCTGAGAGAATTTCAGTCGTTCCGGGAAGTCCTGATGATTTTCACATGCCTGGTGCCAGCCAGCCCAGGCCGCCCGCCAGGTCGAAGCTAATCTGATCTGATCCATCCAAATCTAATTATGCTCTGCAAACTTGGGCTGAGTGTCTCCTCAGTGTTAGGCCAGGCCGGGCGCAATGGCGAGATGAGGCCCTTAGCTGCCACATCGATTGCCAGGTCCACAATGGGACTGCCGCATGCTATGTGACTGTAGGCAGCTCACCTCACTTCTGAACCTCAGTTCCACCTGTTGGGCAGAATTAGATGGCCCTGGGTCCTACTTCCAAGGTGGGACAGTGACAACAAAGCTGTCCTTGGACCTCAACCCAGGCAGGAGGGAGCCACGGAAGGCTGTCGCCAGAGAGGGGCCGTGTATGTGCCGGGCGGTGGGGTGGGGGACCTCTGTCTGCTTTAGAAGGCTCAGATTTCAAGCCACGAGCGAGGTGAAAACTGTCACAGGACCCTGAGAGGGACGAGGGGCCAGTGAGAGGGACGAGGAGCCAGTGAGAGGGCAGAGGTTTATTTGGGACATCTTTTATTGCCTCCTCCTCCTAGAGTTTTCTGGAGGGTGGGGCATGTGGAATGAAGCTCTCTCCATATTCCATATGCTCTTGACAGGTCTGAGAAGGGGTGTGCCTGCTTTAAACCACTCGTGGAAGTGGGGCAGCATGGGAGATGTTGTGTCTGGCAACGCCTGGCCAGTGCCTCTTTCCAGTGTTATCCCTGGATCCTCTGACAGGCCCCATGGTGCTTTCCCCGCAGGGCTTCTTCCCACAGGCCAGCTGCCAGCCTAGGGGATGGTCCCATGTGTGTGGAGATATGACAGCCACATTAGTGTGGATGTCACAGTCCCTCAGCATAGGTCTGGCACCCTTGGTCCAGTCAGAGTTGGAATGTGTGCCCCCCAATGGTCACTGCTATGGCAACTTCACCAATAATATCACCTTCTGAGTTCTTGTCCTTTAAACACAGAGGAGAACAATGGCTTTGCTTCACCACCACCCCCGCCCCAACCCCTCCAACTTGGAAGGGGACCTTAGGGGCCTTCCATAGTCCAGAGCTGCCCTAGCTTGGGAAAAGCAAACCTAGCTTATATAGTTGGAAAGAACCCAAGGGAAGTCACATAAAAGGAGGTGCAGGGCTGAGCTGGGGAAGAGAGGCTAATGACGACCTCTGGGATGCCTGTCTGGGGCACCACATGCCCTTCCAAGACAGGAGCACTGTGGTGCACACAGGCTGATAACTGGGCTAGCGTGAAGGGCTGGATCATGGGACAATATCCAGCTCCATCTGAATGAGGACAAGCAGAGATGCTTACTCCATGGGTACTTTGTACAAACAACCTCCTTGAAGCCCAGGAGACTGACTGTTAGGAGTACCACAGCTCTAGCAGTAGGGATGCTGTGGCTCATGAAAGGTAGGACACTTGCCCTGGGTCTCCAGTGGCCACTCTAATGCTCACTGCTCATCCTGCCAGCCTTGTGTCGGATCGGCAGCTTTGGTCTCT